TAAATAAAGCGTTGGACACCGACACAGTGCGAGCCAACGTAGCAAAATTCTTCACGGGACGTCAATAGGACCATCCTAATCGTGTCCTTTTAAGTCCTCAGGTCATCATAACGGTATGCTCGTTAAAGTCATTCTAAGCATGATCTTAGTACAGTCTGTAATGAATCATTAGTAATGATTTACCTCCCATTGGTATACCGTGAGGATATTGGATAAAATATTCTATTTGAATACCTACTTAATGGAGCCTGTGAGGATATACCAGATATGTAAATTTTCTTAAATATTAATTATAGGTACTTAATAACTTGATTTTTCCTAATTTATTAATGTACAAAAGCAATAATTTATTGCGGGACTTGCAAACGTTATATTTGAAAAATAACGGTTGAAATTTGTAAACGTAATTATAACGGAAAGCGATAATCAAAAAGAATTAAATAGGTACCTCAAAACAAAGTATAACGAATAACAAAATATATAATAAATCATTAAACAAAAAAAAATATCTCAAAACGTAATTTATAGAATATCATTAAACGAAAAATAACACAAAACGAAATTATTTGAAAATTTAAAATCCATTTATTTTAAAGCAAGGTATATTGGTTTCGTAGAAATATATTTTATTTCATAGTATTTATTTTTGTCTTGGAAAAAAATCTAAGAATTGTTTATATTATTATTATATTATATCCGGGACATTACCTACCCACATTTGTTGGAATTATCGATAAATTATAAACTGAATTGCCACTAGCAAATACCTACCTAGTATAACAATAATTATTATAATTATTAATAATAATTAATGATGCCCCGATATAGAAGTATAGAGTATAGACTTATTTTGGATTCACTCTGTACCTACTTTGTCTACTCTGTTGTCTGTACTACTGCGATCCTCTTGAGAGTGTTAAAGTATATACTGTTGTTAAAACATCCGTTTCATTTATATTAGCAACATATTAAAACAAATAACGCAATTATGGGTAGATCAATTTTTTAACCCAGTACCGAAAATGCAAAGGTGGGCATTAACTTGTTAAAAAGATAAAGTTAAGTGAAAAGTTAATTTTTTTTAACTTTTTAACTTAACTAGTTAATTATTTTTGTCTTTGGCTTATTAACTTATTCAGTTAAAATGTCCAACTCAATTATATAAAATACCTAAGTGTTAGGTATATAGAACACCATTTATATTAATATTAAATATTAATAAAATAATAAATTATAATTTTCTGGTAATTATGTTGAAAAAAATTAACTAGTAAATTACTTACTGGATTGTAAAATGCTGGGTAAAATAAAGTTTTTATTCTAAATAACAATAAACGCTAAACTTGGATAACGTTTTAATTCTGAATAACGATAAACGAAAAACTTGTGTAACGTTTTAAATGTAAATAACGTAAAACGAAATTTTTTCAAATGCAAGCCTTGTAGGTTGTTACCTATAATTATAGGTAAATTTTTTTTTTTATACCGTAGATAAGTATATAATATGTCTTATACCTAGACGGCTAGACTGACATACCGTCTCCGCTCAGAATTATAGTTCAAATGTTATTATGTTAACAACATTTATCACATTTAAAATTTAATAATAATTTTGTAGTTAAAAATTTATAAAATGTTCAACTTTTATAGCTAAGGTTTGAAAATTTAAAACAAGATTCCATTAATAGGTTATATATAAATTACTTTATTCACCTTAATATCATCAAATATAGTTCGAAATATCATAGGCTGAGTGACCGTTTTTGCTCAGAATCTTTTTCTTGTACAATGATATTATATCATTGACTTCAAATTTAACACCATCCATCATTACACATTACAGTGACCCACTTGTAACCTACTTTACAGCAGAGATACTTTTTTATAGTTATTTAAATTCAAAATTTGGACGAAATTAGATATTTAAAAGAATAAGAACGATTATTTAGTTTTGTATTATATTTATTAAATATTATTTTTGGGTACCTACTTGGAACTTCTGAAGTATATTATTATACACAATTAATATGATAATAGACAAATAATAATTCAACTTAACCGGCAATACCGTAATACCGTATTAATAATTACAACATAAACATAATATGAAATATTTTAGGCCGACAAACTGTCTCTGCTCGAAATTGTTTTTCCTACCTATACAATAATATTATATCATTGAATTCAAATTTAACACCATCCATTACAGTCATCCAATTGCAACCTACTGTACAGCAGAGTCACACACAGTTACCTACTTACCTGCTTTTTTTAATTATAATCGTTACGAATTTTTAAATTATCACGCACCTGCGTTTAATTTTTATGAAATGCCTTGAATACAATATTTTCATTGTTGTTTGTGGCAATGTGGTGGATTGGGCCAAAGACAAAAAATATATATTTTAAAAATGACCAATAGTAAAACAGTAACATATTACATAATATTAATAATATTATACAATATACTACTATATCCAATAGGATAATGATCATATTATGTACTATTATTTCTTCCCGCGCGCGTACTGGTAACACACATGGTTTTTTTTTTTCTATAATTGTCAATAAATTTTATTTGTTGGGTCAAAAAGTGTGAAAATTTAATGCGAAGCTCCTGATATATTGTTACTATAGCAGTTGAAAAATATTAAAAACATCTGGCACAACTTTTTTTACAAGTTTTAAATTTCAAATTTATCTGATTTATCAAATTTATCGTAAAAAATGATTTTGTAATTTAAATGTATAAAATGTTCAATTTGTATAGCTAAGCTAGAAAATTTAAAACAAGGTTCCACGTTAGTAAATTATTCTGTAACCAAAAAAATTCAAAAAAATAAGAACACATTTTTTTTTTAGTTATGATATTTTCTAATTTGGACGAACTGGCTATTTTTGGCCCGGGGTGCAAAATTAATTAGGGGCCCGTAATTTTTTTTCAAACCTACATAAATTAGGAAAGAGTCCTTAATTTTATAAGTAAATTTAAAAAAAAATTAACAATAACATGTTATTTATTTGTAGAGATGTTAAAATATGGTATTTTATTTTTGTTTTGTATAATACCATATTATACCAGTATTATACCGTATAAAACCTTGCAGTACCTTAAATTATAGAAAATTTAACAAAGGGAAAAATGGATTCATTGAAAAAATGGCTAGAAGGTCAGAAAACATTTAAAAAACACATAATACAAGAATTATTTTAGACCTAATTCACCAAATTAATATTTAGTCATGCTACCATGATGTAAGTACCATAATATGTTCATATACCTAGTGACTTAAATTTAAAATATTTTAATTACAATTCACATTTCATAGTAAATTATATTCTTAAAATATCAAATAAACTTCAAAATAAATTAGGATTTGAGTAACCTTATTATCTGCCAACTAGCATATAAATATAGGTATTTACTAACTTTTTGGTTCCACATTTTTTTTTCTTGTATGTACCAAGTACTTATATTTAGTAAACAAAATTATATTAACTAAATTATTTAATCTTTAAACAGTTTAAGTAAACATAGGTATTAGGGTATCTGCTTTTTTCAAAAATGTTTAATTTTTAAATAGAAATAAATAGAAAACTATACTTAATACTTATATAGTTATATACTATTTCATTGTACCTAAATTTACAATATTATTATATTACAATAAATTGATTTAAGACATTTTTAATACCTTAATACTAAATAAATATGAATAAAATTATAGTTTATATTTTAAATTTTTATAATTATACTGTATTTTATTGAAGATCCATTCTATAAGTACTACTAAAAAAATTTATATTTGAGTTACTAAAACTATATAAATATTAAATGGCAATAAGCCAATAATTTGATTGCAGTATGCTTATTACTTCATTGTTTGCATATTAAAATGGATAGTACCTACTTAATTAATTATCTTTAATTGTGGTTATAACTAAAAATAAAGCCTTTTTTTTTTTTTATACCATGTGTATAATACCCAGTATAAATGTATAATACAGTTTTATACCACTGTAGAATACAAACTCACATCTCTATTTATTTGGGAGTATGATGCAGACATGGGACATAATACAGATATTAGATACTTATAGTAACAATTTTTTTATGTATGTAGCTTAGACTAAATGCATTTTTAGATGATTTTTCGATTTAAACTCACCCAAAGGAACACATGTATTTTATTGAATAGTCAATTATTCTTAAAATTATAAAGTTTTAATGCTAACATAACAAGTAGGTAGCTATATATAATTATAATATATTATGAATAAGAACAAATGTCTTCTGTTCTTACACTCACAATTCACATAGTTCAATTTTAAACATACTTAAATACTTTATATATAAAATATACCATACAATATTAAAAATATAATATAGCTTACGTATAACTTATATACGAGTATCTTTATATAATTTCCTAGATTTAAATGTATGAGTTAACAATAGAAATATAATAATCGTATTTTAAATACCTATTGAAATTAAATACTTTAAAATAAAAGTAATCTACTTAATTCGTTAGAACTTTCACCCAATAAATTAATAGTTTCATCACTACTTGGAATGAGATCAGTTTCAATGGATAACAACATCAACGCATCAAGATGCTCTTGGTTGATTGCTGCTCTTAAGCGGGGTTTAATTATTTTTAATTTAGAGAAGGCCCTCTCGCAGTTGACTTGTGTGCATGCTAATGTCATAGCAACTACATATATTTTATATAGGTTCTTGAATGCTGAAGGCGATGAACCATGAACCCATGTAATAATATTTGTGTAAGATAGAAAATGCGCATGGAATGCACCAGCCATTATTTTTACAATTACCTGAAATAAAAATATAAAAAAACAATTAAATTTTTGTTATTTGTTAATTATTATAATGAACTTTGAAATTTACCTTCATGAACCATGCTGCAGTCATCATCTCCAGATTCATATTCACTTAATTCTTGTTTTTCTACAACTGGCATAATGTAATTTGAATTTCAAAGAGGTATCATGGTCTTGTATGATGTAGCAAAAGCTATTAGTTCTTCTAAAACTTCAGTGACTTCAACGTTAGACATTAATGCAAAAACTTCTAATTTTTTTCCAAATGTTTCCACACGATAATGTATATTTTCAAAATAGATAGGTCCTGGACAAATCAGAGGAAGCCCTATTAAAACATTTTCATTTTTTTTCTCGGTATATCTTAAATCTATGGCCATCAAAATTGTATCCATAACATTTCGAAAAACTCCTAAAAAATATTTATCTTTACTATCAAAATTTGATCTTTTGTCCCTTGATTTTTCTCCTGGCATCATTCTTTTTACCTTAAAATCTTCTTCAATCACCACGTGTTCTAAATGTTTTGTTTTTGATACTGTTTTTTTACTGTTAGGTTAAAATTCAGTTTGCACTGCTTAGGAATATTTTTTACTTTTTCAAGCTCTATTTTTTCACGCATTTTTCTTTTTGTACTACCACTATTATGTTTGTATGATGATTTTTTTTGGCTTCCATATCAAATTTGAAACAAAACTAATCAAAAAAAATTATATTAGTTATTATGTTTTGGCTATTCTAACCTCAAATAAAATTAAGTTAATTAAATTAAACTAAGTATAATAATGGCCAATATAAAACAGTTTTTTTTCACAAGTTTTAAATATTTTTGAAAACCCGGTACAATCATAATAGAAGATCACATATTTTAGAAAAAATAATTTGATTTAATATTTCATAAAATTATCTTTAGTTTTTTTTTTTATATGGTACTATGGTAGTGTATTTAACTATTTAAGTATCCATATAACATATCAGTTATTCAGTTATCAGTAACATGTATATATACGTTCATTTGGTTTAGAGTTACACCAATAACCAAAATCGATTTTTTGGAAAACCAATTTTGCGTAAAAATTCCCGTTTTTCCTTAATTTTTATGTTGTTTTTCCCGGCGCTTGTGAAAACTACTGGGAAATTTATACTTTTGACCCCCTAAAGTACCAACTAGATTCAATTTCCTATCAGAAAAGCTACTGATGAAGAAAATCCAAGCACTTTTACTGCCCTAAAACGTGATGACAGACACAAAAAAAAATAAAAATAAAAAAATATAAAAATATAAAAACACACATCATTGTAAAACCAATACATTCATCGCTCCGCTCAGAATCTAAAAATAAGTGTCTATAATCTATATATACCAACAGGTAGCAAATCCATTGCTATAGCTCTGCTTCATGAAATATACAAAAATATATACCTACCCTATTTCTATTATATAAGTTATAAGCAAAAATAGGTAACTTACTATTCTTATGTTTGCCTTAAGCTGTTAACCAATTAATAATTACTTTGTTTTCTTTATAATATATAATTTATAGCTAATAAATAATAATTAATAATTATTAATTTCTGTATCAAATTAAAACTTTGATAATATTAATAAAGAATTCAGTTTTGACAAAACTTGTTTTATTCTTCTGAATAAAAATTTGCAATGTTATGAGATGGTAAACATTATTTTGATTTGGTATACATAGCCATAGCCCATATATCTAATAGAATACTTCAACTTTAAAATGTATAGTTATGAATATAGGTAGGTACAATATTAATTTTTATAATACAAGACATATTAATTTAGAAAATAAAATTCACAACAATTTTAATCTTAGCTCACCTCAAATAATGATTATATTTTGTAAATAATTAACTCAAAGACAAAATATCAATGAAATGTTAGTCAAAAATGTTTGCTTAAGTCTTAAGAAGAAGAAAATATTTACGTGTTATTTTTGATGATGTATCAATAATATTAACCTTTATGGACCTTTATTTCGTTCATACCTATTAAGTTATCAATACTTTAAACTAAATCAAATTTTTATTTAATAATATAATATTGAAAAATATTAAATGTTATTAGACAGTAATATCCAATATGAAAATTGTTTAATATATTTACACAATATACAAATACGCATTATAATACACTGTCTTATAATATATAAATATATAATAGAGTAATATTAAATGATTTCCTACTCACCAGTTTTAATTTCAAGACTCAAAATCGTATAGGTACTCGTACTTATAGAATAATATAAAACGTCTAAACGTCGAACGTACTCCTAGACCCTAGCTAAACGCTCAAAGATACGAATACGAAAAATGATCGATTTAGACATATTTAGTTAATTCATCAATTCATGTAATAATAAAAATGACAAATGTTTATAAATTATAAATATAAAATATATAATTATAACATTTATAGCTAACACATAATAAGACAAGATAAAATCACCATAAATACAAAAACAAAACTATAAACAAACCGTTATCAGAAGTTTCCTTAGCAAAAATACCTTAAATGCAGTAGATTGTATAATAAACGTGGTTAAAGTTTATTCTAAATAACGATAAATGCAAAACTTTGATAACGTTTTAATTGTAAATAACGTAAAACTGAATTTTTTTTTCAAATGCAAGCCCTGAATTTTAACGAATTCGTCATCCTATACAGAAGGGAAACGTATAACTAAAGAAATGAAAAAAAATCAGATTTGGTTATTATCAATAGGTAAGTACTGGAATATAAATAATAAGGAATTATATTTAACTGTTGTAATTTAATACTACTTATGATTTTATATAACACTCTTCCACCACCACAAGCATGTGTTTAAAGGTGGTAGATATTTCTTTTTGTTTTAAAAAAAAAAAATTAAATATAAACGGTATAATAATGAATAATATAAACAATTTTTAATTTTAATACCTAGAAACTTTTTTTTTAGATTCTGAGTGAAACGATGAATGTATTGATTTTACAATGATGTGTGTTTTTTTTTTTATTTTTTTTTTTATTTTTTTTTTATTTTATTTTTTATTTTTATATTTATTTTTTTTTGTGTCTGTGTACACGATAAGTAGTCGAAATAATGCTTCGATTTTCGACTTCAGTATCTTGTTCGATTGGAAAGTGAATATCGTTGGTGCATTGGGGAGGTCAAAATTTAAATTTCTCAGTAGTTTTCAAGAGCGCCGGGAAAAAACAAAAGAAAAATTAAGGAAAAACGGGAATTTTTACGCAAAATCGATTTTTCAGAAAATTGAATTTGGTTTTTGGTGTAACTTTAAAACAAATGACCGTAGGCACATGCAATTTTCACTGGTTGTTTATATTTGCATCTTCTATACACGATAACATTTTCAAAATATTTTGATTTATTTTGAACAGTTTAGGGACATTTTCATTTTTAGTTTTTTTTTAGTTTTTTTTCTAGAAATATCAATAAAATTTTATTTGTTGGTTGCGAAAGCTTGAAAATTTAATAGAAGGCTCCTAATATATTGTTTCAAAGGCAGATGAAAAATATTAAAAATCCTTAGTCACAATTTTTTTTTATAAGCATTTAAAGTTCAAAAATTGACAAAATATGGAAAAATCACGAAAATTAGCAAATTATTTTGAGTTAAGAATTCGTAAAAATTTTTCTTTTTAAATCTAAGATTTGAAAATCTAATACAAGATTACTCATAAGATTGTCTACCTTTATCAATAAAAAAATCTCTACAGGAAAGTCAAATTAAATTTTTATGAGCGTTTGAAATTCAAATTTTTACAACATTGGATATTCACTCGATTTCTCATGTGGCAATTTCCTTTTTTTGTTGTAATTAAAAAACGAATTACTGTAGATACATGAAAATTTCACTGAATGTTTATATTAGCATTTCCTATACACCATACAATTTTGAAAATATTTTGACTCTTTTTGAGCCGTTTACGGACATTTTCAGTTTTCAATTTTTTTAGTTTTTTTTTTCTATAAATATCAATTAAGTTTTATCTGTTGGGCCAAAAAGTGTAAAAATTTAATACAAGGCTCCTGATATATTGTTACAATATTAGTTGAAAAATATTAAAAATACATAGGCACAATTTTTTTTTATAAGCATTTTAACATCGAATTTTGACAGAATTTTTCAAAATCTCGAAAATTATTAATCATCGTAATTAATAAATTATAAAATGTTCAGTTTTTATAGCTAAGGATTGAACATTTAAAACAAGATTCCACGTAAGTAGTTAATTCTCTTACCGAAAAATCTAAAAAATATACAATCACAGTTTATTTTTATAGTCATTTTATTTTCAAATTTGGACGAAATTACATATTAAAAAACCTAGTTATTTTGTTGTGATTATATAATATTATTCGTGGGTACCTACTTGAAACTTCTAAAGTTTACTATTATATATATATGATAGTATCAGGGTTTGTTGTTAGTGTATAACGTGTTATAAGTACCTAATGGATATTGTGATAATGTGATATGATTAATTTGGAATTTATTATAGGTCAATTTTTTTTTAATACCATAGATATGTATATAATTTGTCTTAACCTAGACTGACATACCGTCTTCGCTCAGAATCGTTTTTCTTATACAATGATATTGTATCATTGAATTCAAATTTAATAGCATCAATTATACAGTGACCCACTTGTAACCTACTGTACAGCAGAGCGACATCCACTTACCCACCTTTTTTATTTTGAAGTTTATATAATTGTTGTTTTATAATATTCAATAAAATTTATCATCCTGAAATTCTTTTTTTGCATTGCACAGAGTAACAATTTTAACTGCACAATTACTTTTTTTACTGCACAAAATGTGTCCCACTGAAAAAAACTCTGGTATATTATACGCACGTACCTGATTGTTTTAGATGGAGATTTAATACTAAAAGTTCATTCTCGCGCCGCTCCCAGACGATTATGGATCCCACATGATTTTCTTGCGTGGTGGAAGACATAAGATGAGATAAGAAAAAAAAAGTTGTGTCCTACGAATGTGCCAAAATCGTATCGTATACGAAAGCGCCAAAATCCTAGATACCTGTGTGCCACGGTTAATAGATATATTAAATAACAGATATTAAATTTAGAACGATATATTATTAAACATTTTTTATAAAATCGAAAAAATCATCCGATTTATTCAAATTTATTAATTTATATTATATTTATCGACAACAATCTACCTACCTACATATTACATTATACTCTGAGTACTAAAAGACTCCGCGAGTGAATTTTCCATAACTTTGCAGCTGTCATACTGCCCATACTATATTATATCCTTATCGCAATATAAGAAGATGGAACTAAAAAAGATTTCCTAAGTGCTGGTGGAGCGGAATATGATCACATGGACTGGAAGGAAGTAGCGGAGAATAGAAAAGAATGGCAAAGGATTTGTTCTATGGCAAGATGGTCTCAAAGGCCTTAATATAAAA